AGGGGGGAGATAAATGATAAATGTATAAATAAATAAATTGGTACTAACTTGAAAATTAGTATTATCCGCCTGTGGCGTAAAGCTGTGAGTGGTGTACAGAGATCTGGGTCGCATTGTGGTATGTCCATAGGTACTACTGTTTCGTGACTGTATGTGATGAGCTGAATTTGATATTGTTGGGTGATCACCGGATTTCGATGTCTCACGGCCACCCTCGCCTGATGAATTCGTCATTGTTCGAGCCTGGATTAATTATTAATTGAGGTAATTTTTTAATTAATTTCATTTGGGGGAATTGGAGTTTTGTTTGGGGATGGGGTTTAGTTTTTGGGAGATCGGCCGGGAGGGGGTGGAGATAGGAGGAAATTACCCTAAACGTTTTTTGTAGGAAATTCAATTCTCTACAAAAAAGATAGAGAGGTGTTTTGCGGTGGGAGTGACGGTTGAGGAGATTTTTCAGGAATTAGATGTGACGGTTTTTTTGCAGATGAAAGTTGACAGGGTTCCGGGGGTTTGACGGAGGGACTGAGTTTAGGGGTGAATTATCGAGGTCAGGAGGGGGTGAAGGAAATTATGTCAAAAGATATTTTTTGCGTGGAATTTAATCCTCCACAAAAAAGGTTCAGACATGTATTTCGATAAAGCCATCATTTTTGGAGATTTTTCGACATAACTTTTTGAATTTCTAAAAATTATTTCTTGTATTCGATCGTCTTACATCGGGAAAATCTCGTTGATAAGTGGGTTTACGAAAAAATATTCCTCAACATTTTTTGTAAAAAATTTAATCCTCTGCAAAAAATGTTTTATGACATTTTTTCCTAAGCCCACTCCTTCTCCCCAAACTCCCTCATTTTCAGAAAAATATAGTAACGTTTGATTTTTATACCTCGAAAAACCTCTCAAAAAAATTCTATCCCTCACGATCTTCCCGCGACATGAAAAAAATCATTTCAAAACATCCAAAAGATAACAAAGATACCCCAAAAAAATCAATATCGATCATTTTCTCGATAATTACAATGAAATCGATAATTTCAACAGAAAAAAAATGAATTTCCTCATTGCACCGCTCCAAACCCATCATTAATCCACTCGATATCGAGTAAAATTGCGTAAGAACTCCGATAAATTACTGATTAATACCACAAAGAGAGAATAAAATCTTGCGTGAATTAATTTTGATCCATTCAATATGAAAATTTTTTTATTTACTGACCTTGGAGCTGGTGCTGCGCGGCTTGCGACGACGGGACTTCCTGGTTGTCTTAGGGGCCAAACACTGACCTCCGGTATCACTCGAACGATCCACGATTGATTGATTTAATCCAACGATCGCTCAATTTGTTAATCGATTATTTAAGTAATGAGATAAAATCGACTGAAATGGGGAGTGACTGGTGTTGGGATTGCACGTGTTGCCAGGGAAATTAAACAACGACAAGTGACGATCGACGAGGATGACGGAATGACGATCGATGTTCGATATTTTTCGTTAATGGAAAAGGAAAAAATGCGGGAGGGGGAGTCGTTTTTTTGGGGGGGAGGGGGAGATCGTTATTCGGGGGTTTTGGGAAATTTCTTGGGGAAATGTGCAATTATCGCGGGATTAAGGGGGTTTGGAGGAAAATGTCAAAGAAAAATTTTGTGGAGAATTGAATTTTCTACAAAAAGTGTTTTATGACTTTGTCTCTTAAATCCGCTCGTCCCTGAGATAATTGCAAATTAAGGGGCCTTGGGTGTCAAAAGAACTAGTGAAATGCGAAGAAAACTTTGTGCCATGACTTCTGACTCAAAAGGTGATGGATAAAAACAGAAAGATGGCTTAAAAAAGTTGTTCATTTTATAGAAATTGAATGCAGTGTGTTGATGGTAATTTGAAAGGCATAGATAATTTTAAGGCATGTTTAAAAATACGAGGTGGAGGCGCCGCCATCTTTGAATTCCCCTGCGGCAGAGGGCGGGGGTATCCAGGGAAGATGGCGACATCCATCTGTCCATCACCTCGTATTTTTGAACATTTCTTAAAATTATTTATCCTCTTTAAATCACATTCAACTCATTTCACCCAATTCCTGAAAAATAAACAAATTTTGAAAATTCTTCTTCAGACTTTTTCATGCCGTTTTGGCTGAGAATTCATGGTGCAAAGTTTTCCTGGCTTTTCGGTAGTATTTCCTCTCGAGAAAATACTTCGTTTTCCTCAGATGTCATCATTACTTTTAGTCATTGACTCATCGAGAAAAATCTTCATACACTTGTCTGTGACATAACATCTCCAATATGATTAAAAAGAAAAATATCATGTTTATAAAAAACGCTGTCCGTACGAAAATTTTTCTTCACTTTCTCTTGGAAATGAGGAAGACAATTTTCTCGAAAAATACAACTTCCACAAAAAACTGGAATAAAATACAGAAATCAATGAAAATAAGCCAAGCCAGGGCTCAATAAAAATGAGTAAAGATAGAAACATCGTCCTTGGCGCGGAATTTTTGCAACCACTGACTAATATCAATCTAATTTTTCATGTTTTGTCTTTACTGATTTTTATTGAGCCCTGACTTGGCTCATTTTCATTAGTTTCTAGAAAAATTTTGTAGACAATGATCCTTCCCATTTTCAAGAAAAACCAAAGAAAAATTTTCCTTGGCAGAGTGTTTTCCACAAAAATAATAATTTCTGTTTTTTAGTATTGAAAAATAAATCAAGTAGAAGCCGCAATTTTTAAATTACTCTCACATCCGCGATATGATGCTAATGGTCTTGATCACGAGGATGAGTCCACGTGCTCGTGAACCGGATTGACACGATGACTCGAATACGCCCATTGAAAAAAATCTTGCAATTATCGTTGAATTATTTTTATTGAATAATTCAACAGAGATATTTTCAAACGCTCGAGTACAATTGGACCTTTGTCCATCGCTGAAAAATTCCCAGACATTTATTCGTCTTTTCCAATTGCAAAAATAGCCCCGAAAAAAATAAATTGATAAAAAAAACCTTCTCCATTTTCGTTCACGATAAGAACAATTTCAATTGCACAATCATTTCTTAAACAACTTGTTTTCCATTTCCGAATAAAAATGATTGAATAAATGAAGCGAAATTTGGGAATGGGCATCAATTTATTCTCATTTCATTTTTCTCCAAAGAAAAGAAAATGGAAAAATAAGTGAATGGAATTTTCGAAAAATCAAGGTTTTTTTATTCATTCATTTATTCTTGTTTATGATAACAAAAATTTTACTTGCATAAGAGTGATTACGTCACGTCAGGCACGTGCAATTGTTATTAAAAATGCTGAGTGCGGAGTATTCTTGTGTCCGTAACTCGAAGCAACTGTTTGTCTTCCATTTTTATTGCATTTTTTTCCCTCAAATTGTAAATTCATCATTAAGAGTGGAATTTATCTGCTGGATTGGGTGTGGAGATGAATTGATACTGGATATTCTCCCCTCCAGGGTACCAGCTGGTGTTAAATACTGGAAGGAACAATGGGGACTTACGACAGTGATATCGGCGGTGAGCCAGGATTTCGAAGGAAAAAAATTCAGTCTGGAGGCGAGGTACACTGGAAAATCATGTACAAGGGGCTGTCGACATTGTGGGGGGCTGGAGTGGTCTATACCTGGCTCGCTGTTATCAATATTGCTGAGGGTGAGTGGGTGAATCATTTTGGAAATTATTTTTTGGGGAAATGAGGGCTTGAATGGGTTTACGGAGGACTTCATGAGGGTCAGAAGGGCCAAATGAGATGAAAAAATTGGGAAATTCAGGTGGATTAATTGATGTTATTGTTTAGCAATGATTTATATTCATTGAGGATCAACTTGGGAGATGACTATAAAATTTATTTGACGCACAACCGAAAAAAAAGGTTTTTTCGTTTTTTTTTTCAACGAAAGAAAATTGATTTCCTCATTAATTTAATCATTTAATTAAGGGGATTGTTCAGGAATGATTTGTAGTCATTAATTATCCAATTAACAGGTAGTTATCAAATTTACTGAGACCAAAATGAAGAGTAAAACGTCAATTTCTTGATTTTGAATTGGAAAAAATTGGGAATAAATGATTTTTAAGTGGTTTAATTGACGTGATTGGTTATTAATGATTGGTAGTCATCAATGATTTACTCAGAGAATGACTATCACATTTATTGAGACAAAAACAAAGAAAGAAACCTCAGTTATTGGATTTTTAACTGAAAAAATCTGAACAATCGATTTATTGATCAATTTTAGTTTATTAATTCAATTGATCTAACAGTTAATGAAATTCTTTCATGAAAATGTGCGTCGAGGAAGTCTTGTGCGAATTTCATAACAAAATAAAATGTGACATGTTTTAAAAAATTCAATAGAAAATTCTATCGAATAAAAAATCCTATTCAATAGGAAATTTCATTGATTGATTTCTAATTCCTATTGGATACAGGGTGAACAGTACAACTGCGGAACACCCCCCCCCCCCCCCCCCCCCC